GTTATGGGATCAATTGACAGGGAAAGTTTCAACAAGGAGCATCTGAAAGCTTGGCTGGAGGAGACCTGGGAAGGAGGGAAAGAATATTGTAAGAAGGGCATGGGATATTTATTCCTTGTGAGACAAGGAAAGGAAGAATGAATTTACAAGCACAGGTGGCCATAGGGAAGTGACATGATTGTGGTTCCTGATGGTGGGTAGAGAAACCCCAGAGGAAATCTGACACAAGCCAGGAGCTGTTTTCATTAAAAAAGGGCAAGTATTTATCAGTCGATACTGATATGTATGTTTGAGAAAATCAGGTGGGAATCTGTATGGCTTTTATATGAGGGAAGGTGACAGGTATGTGAGCAAGGGCTGTATCTGGAGGGAGACAGAAGGAGGAAAAACAGTAGATGTGGGGATAAGGCAAAGGTTCAACAAGATTAGGAACATGAACAAAGTGTAAAAGAAACTGAAATAAAATAAACATTACAGAAGATGGAAGAGCGAATAAAACATAGAACAACTTTTACCCAGAATAGAACAAAAGAGATCAGACCACTGATTAAAGGAGATGCAGTAAAGAAGTAAGAAATGTGGATTTTATACACTGCTACAGATAGCAGGTGTGCTAGAAAGAGATTATTTCATTATACATCTTTAGAGGTGATCACACGCTCCACCTCCAGTCCTTTTCTGCTTCCAAAAAGAAAAAATATTCCCACATGTAGCATTCGCCTCAGTCCTTAGCCTATGTTTTCCATTTTTCCCATGCCCCCATTTTTCCAGCTGTTCTTGGGGGTTGTTCTGCCAAGCATAATAACTAAATAACCACTACTGTCATATTTTTAGGTCCAGTTTGGCTTGCTTTGTAAGGCATCAAATATATACAGGAGACTATACTAGAATGTCACTTACTTCCTTTGTTGCTGAAGCTTTGTTTTTAGACAGTGTGGTTATGTAAAAGGGAAGAACAACTCAGGGACACTTTCTATTCAGTGCTCTAAGGTCACTTTGCAAGAAATTTACCTTTTTATTCTTGTCCATCTCTTCCTCCCCACTCTTTGCCCTGGTGCTAACAATGACAAGAATCTGTTTAAATATCCTATTGAAAACATAATAAAAAAATGAAGAATCTCTCTATTTGCTCAAGGTCAATTTGGCAATGAAGGTGCTGTACTGAATCAGTGCCCTTCCTTTGTATAGACAGAACAGTTGATTCTCATTTTTCCTTTAAAATAAGTATTTAGTGAGGCTGCTTCTCGAGGCAGTGCCTTATCTTTGTGCATTGTGTACTTCAACATTGAATTGGTCTTCATTTCCCCAGGGCACCGAGGCAAGTGCATTTTTCTTGTGATGCTATTAATTAATATTACTGGCATGAATTCTCCAGTTCTCCAATATGAACAGTTCTATTAATTATAAATATGAGCTCTACTTTAGGTATGCAGAGTTCAAACTTTTGAAATCTGTTTGGGGAAATCATACACTTGCTTGTGCTTTAAGTAGTAACCTCTCTGTTGCATCACTTTCTTCCGCTAGTTACAAATGCTGTCTTCGATTTTTAATTATTTCTAAGGAATACTGTGCTTTAGAAAGATATCACATAAGTAGTGTTGAATATTAAAATACTGTCTTCTGAGCAGATTCAAACAGCCCTGCATGAGTATGAAAAGTTCCAGTTCATTAAAGCACTCAAACGCATACTGTCGTCTTCAGTAGGATTAAAAGCATAGAAGTATACTTAGCATTTAATCAAAAGCTTTGACAAAATATTCCCAGTTTTAAGAGCATTAATTCATTGTTGTTTTAATTACAGTATTTTTATTCTTTCTGTATGACTTGAGTAAAACCTACCTTATACAAGGCTGAACACATGGTGATGTCCAGTCATAAGGAGAAGTTTATGGTATTAATACTTCTGTTAAAGTTTGTGAATTGAAAGGTAGGATTTGTTTGAACATTCACTTTAAACTTGAAATCTATAGGATTTGACCATGATATGACCTTGTCTCAAATGTTAATGTTGTTGGTTTATATATATCTCACATCATAAAATATCACTCTTTGAAACATGATAAGTGATGTGTATACATGAAAGCTAGTGTTGGATGTCAGAAATTATTTAAGTATTAATTAACTGAAGTACAAATTGAAAACACAGCTATGTTTAAATGAAGTTTTCACCAAAATGTGTTAGTTTGTGTCAGTCTCCAGTTCTCCTATACAGAATACTTAGTCAATCAACACAATATAACTGGTAGCTCAGAATACTGGCCCTCTTAGTATATAAGCACCTCACTTACAGTCTTTCTTCATCCTTCATACAAGAAGTACAATAAAGTTATCTCTATCCTAGCTAAATGCCATAATCAGCATGTTGTATAGATAGTCTTTTTCTGGTGCAATTCATATTTAGGTATACTTGCAAAGTAAAACACTTGTACATATGAGCTTGAGAGATGTTCCCCAAGAGTAGCTATGTTACACTTTAGCTGTCAGGTTGTTGAAGATTTAGTTTAAATTCCCCGATGTTCTAAAAAATCCTGAATAAGTGCTCTGGCAATTTTATTATTGGCTATTTTGTATCTGTGAGTGGAAATGAATGTCTAATTTTTCACTAGAAGAAAACATTGATAGAATGTCACTATCATTCTAGTGGATGTTGTTTTTGTCCCTGACATGGGGAAACTTGAAAAACTTAGAATATTTGGCCTCAATAAAAGATTATCATAGGTCAATTACATAGAGTAGTTCACTTTAACAACATGCAATTTATACAACTGAATGCAAGATTGTGCAGCCAGTCAACAGCAGTAATATGAAGAAGTCAATGTGCAGAAAGAGGGTGAGGGATTGCTGAAAATAGCTTTTGATGTGACCAGACAGAGGCCTTGTGGAATATTAAGACAAACCAATCATAGCAGTAATGAGAGGTGTTATTATCATTTTAATGTGCACAATCCTGGAACACATATTCAACTTTCAGTAAGTTAAACTAATCATGCTAAAAAGGTTTCTGTGAAGGGCTACAAGAACATTACAGTTTAGGATACCCTTCTCACATAGATTAAAGCAATTTCATCATTTAAAGGCAGAATGGTTTAGAGGTGTCTTTATATATCTATATGGGAGACAAGATGTAAAGTGAAGATAATTCTTTAAATAACTAGGTGTAATGATCTAGAATGGCTGGAGTATGACAGAAGATGAATTCAGAATAGAGAAAATCCTACTTAAAAGCAATAAAACCGTAAAAACATAAGGGATGAGTAGAACTGATTGCTCTTTGAAGTCTTTAAAGTCTTTAAATATAGGTCGGGCATAAGTCCTGATCCAGAAGACACTGGTAAAATTTGTTGAGCCTTGTTATTCAGAAGTTCAGACTAAAGGATATTTCCAGTGTTAAAACATGTGAATCTTTAATACCATTATTTTTTTTTACCAAGATATATTGAATTACGCAATTAAAGATACAAAAATTAATAAATGACTTTGTAAACACCAGGTTGGCTTTCCATCTGTCAGAGTTGAAAACCATGTATATGACAATGTTAAGAAATAAAGATCTCATGTACGCATTTTTTTCCATACACCCTGTGCCAGATGTGGACATTCCAGAATTTTAAGAAGGTACTGTGATGAAATATGACATCACTGTAGTTTTAGATCCTAGTTTTACTGAGACATGTTTGATTATGTTAATTAATCTGACTTTCTCCGTAAACAGGATTCCCCAAGATGTAACTCACTCAAGTGTGAAACCCCAGAGGCTTTGACCTATTATTAAATACAAGGCTACAAATAGAATAGATTTTTTTATGGTAAGAACAACCCTGAAATAGAAGGACCAGTGTTAAAATATGGGAGTAACAGTCACTGGAAAGAAAAGCAATTGTTCAATATACCTCAAAAAGCAACAACAAACTTATCAATGTATTGCAGTCTCTATTACAAGAGCTTTTGCCAGTTTTCTCTGTAAGGAATATAGGTGCTGACCATAAGGTCATAATGTAATATTCTTCAAAATGTATTCACAAGACAGACTTGAGGTGACTAAAATAAGTAGATTTTTGCCTAACTGTTGGCTGTTGCATTTAATTTCTGGGTGTATAAAAACTAATTGTTTTTATTTCATGGATAATTAAATTACCAGAATCTTAACAAGCTGAGGTACAACTGACATGTTGCATGCATTTTTGTGGAGGTATTTTTTTCTTTTCCAGCATAGGGAGGATTCTTAATTCTCAAATGTAGCTGGAATCCTGCAGTTCCAGTGGTAACTGATGATATTACCGTCATGTTCTTTATATCTGTGCTAAGCTATATGAGAATTTAATTCCTGGGGAGAATTACAGCAGTTAAGAGAAATTAAAATGCAGATAAATGGTCTCTACTTTACTCTCTCACTGCTAGAGCAGTTCTATTATTAATAACAGTGGTATATTTTAGGTTAGTAATATATCACATAAAATATACATACAGCATGATGAAAATATAACAACAGAAGGAAAACAGATTAAAAACTACAAGCAAAA